CCTGCTGGGGCTGCTCTTGGCCACGCAGGCTCACTTGGAGCCAGCACTGGCTCCAGTCCCAGCGGGCTCCCCAGGAGGGGCCCAGCAGCTGAGAGGCCAGGACAGCACAGGACAGCAGCAGAACCCTCAGCAGAGTTCTTTGGCCAAGGACTAACTGGCCGCTCCACAGCAGCCAGGCTGGGAATGTTCCATGGCTAGGAGCTGCCTTCAAAAGAAGCTGTTTGAGGGGGAGATCAACAAACAACTCACCGTTTTCTCACCCTCCAGTACCAGATTCCAGCACAGCATGACATGATGGCAAGCTGCCCACCAAACATGCCTGCCATTATCACAATCAAACAGCGTGTTCCCCGACAGAAATCTCTTCCAGTGCTCTCCTGGATCTTGGGAACATGTATTTTGGCACCGGCTGCATCTGCGGGAGCAATTTGGAGCGTTAGCCCGTCCTGGGCACCCCTGCTAAGCCGACAGCACTTTGGACACAGCCAGGACATTCTCTGTTTCCCTCAGTGCGGGTGCCTGGAGGCTCCCAGCCCTGGGGACAGGCTGTCCCACCAAAGCAAACCCAGAAGGCCGGGAGGAGAGCCCGGGGGGAGCGGAGCTGCTTGAGCAGTCGCTCCTTTGAGGGACACGCACACAACCCATCCCTGCAGCAGGCAGTGCCAGCCTCATCCTTCCTTGCCCTGGGACAGCTCCCACAGCCCAAGGGGACGGAGTCAGGCCCTCTCAGGAGACACGAGACCCTCTGCCCAGGGTGGGAGCCAGGGAGCGCCCTTTCTGAAGTTCCTTCAAAATTTCTTTCAGAACTTCATTTGACTCAAGGGTCTTTTTCTCTCCTGGACGTTGGCTCTTGCCTCTTGGAGGACCTGAATGGCAAGCAGTTCCATTTGACATGAATGGATTAGAGAAAACCGGAGCTCAGCCTGTGAGGTCTGCAGGGACAGACTACTCACTCATGCCATATGCGGTGGTCTTGCTCAGAGGAATCAGCAGAGGAGCTGGAAAAGTCCTCCCTGCGGACACCCCTGTAACTCAACAGGCAGAGACACTTGTGTCATCCCTGGAGCTCTGCACGGGCAGCCCTGAGGTACAGAGGGGGTGAGGGGATCCCGCAGGGACAGGGCACACACGGGCAGGTCTCTGTCCTGGCCCCTGCAGAGGCGCCCGGCTGGCCCAGCTTTGGGCTCTGAGCTGGCAGCTCTCCCAGGGGGAAAAGCCACAACGTACCCACACGACCTTCCGGAGGCTCAGTCCTGGGCCCCACTCCGGGTTCCTGATCACCGTCACCCCCAGGCTTGGCTGCAAAGAAGGGCAGGACAGAAGAGCTCCCGTGACCCAGTTCCAGACTCTCCCTCAGGCCGGAGGGGCAGGGAGTGCAACTGGGCAATGGGATCCCTGCAGGGCCCTCATCTCTGCCCTCCCCTCAGGAGCAGGGGCAGAGCTCCCACAGGCCAGCAGTGGCCCCTCGCTGGCACCAAAGGAGCCCACGCAGAGCTGTCAGGGCACCAGGGACTCCCTGGAGCTGCCCCAGCTCCAAACTCAGCCCCAGCGAGGGCCATGGCTTGGCAGCCGCAGCGGGAGCACCTCCGGCTCCGAGGGGCCGGCAAAGGAGCCGCGCCAGGCACAGCCCCCCGGGCACAGCCCTGGGCCCGGCCCCTTCCCTCTCTGCCCTTCTCCGTGTCCACACGGAGGGAGCAACTGGCATCTCCAGGGAAAGAAGATTAAAAGCCCCCCTGACAGGGATCCTGTGGGATCCCTCTTGGGCCTGAGCAAAGAGTCGGCCATGATTGCCACAATCCAGCAACCTTGAGAGGGTCTTAAGGAAAATGGCACATGAATGAGCTCTTGCCACATTGAAAGGGATTATTCTGTCAGGAAAGGGACATTGAGAATTTGCCTCCAGGTTGCCCCAGGAAATTCAGTGCATCATTCAGCAGGATTTCCCGATAATCCAAGTCATGATCCCCATCTAGAAGCAAACAGGGATGGGAACCGTTTCCATGGCATGCTGGGATCCCCTCCTGCCTCAGAGAACTGTGGCACTGCAGGGGCTCGGGGGTCCCCATGGGGGCCAGAAGTCAATGGACATGGCCAGAGCTGCAGAGGGGCCTGGGCAGCTCTGGGCTGGCTCCTGGCCGCTCTGCACACTCGTTCCAGGCCCTGTGTAACATCCCTGGGGGAGCGGCTGGAGCAGCCACGGGCCCCTCGGGACTCTCTCAGGAGCGCAGAGCAAACCCTCACTGAACCCACATCGTGATGGGCCCGAGTGGGCACTGGGGGAAGAGCTGCTGCCACACAGCCACCCCGATGGGTGACACCGGCTGACCACGCCTCAGCAATTACCCCGTGTGCCCGTGCCTGGCATCGCCTCCCTGCCCTCAGCAGAGCCTGGCACGGAGCCACTGCTTCCTTTGGGGAACGCCGCCTGCCACAGAGCCCCTTGGTCCATCTCTGGGGAAAGCAAGAGGGACAGCTGGATCAGAGGGAGCTGTTCTCCATAAGGGAAGTGGCATCTTCAGGAGGCAATGCTTATAAAGAACATGGGAAAGGTCCAGGGAAACAGCCAGGCTTTTGGGGCTGGGTCAGGGCACTCTCTCCTCCAAACAGCCACCACACCGGAGCTGCCGGGAGACCAGACCAGACAATTGCAGGGGATCTCCTGGTCTGCAGGGCCCGTGGTGCATTTGGGGCACGGGGTCAGGGGATGCTCAAGGCCTTCCTGCAGAGGCTGGGGAGAAGCTGCAGCCAGGCCAGGTGGGGAAACAGCCCCGCAAGGTGGGAAAGCAGCAGCGGGGCAGCGAGGCTGCGATGGATCCCTTCCCGCTGTGCAGCCACTGCCTGTCCACACGTGGATCTAAAGCCCCCGGCTGATGGGTCTCACGGCTCAGGCTGAGGAAACAGACCCACCTTGCCCTTTCTGAAGTTCCTTCAAAATTTCTTTCAGAACTTCATTTGACTCATGGGTCTTTTTCTCTCCTGGAGGTTGGCTCTTGCCTCTTGGAGGACCTGAATGGCAAGCAGTTCCATTTGACATGAACAGATTAGAGAAAACCAGAGCACAGCCTGTGAGGTCAACAGGGACAGACTACTCACCTCTGCCATGTGAGGCTGGTTTGGGCGGAGCAACCAGAAAAGGAGCTGGAAAAGTCCTCCCTGCAGACACCCCTGTAACTCAACAGCCAAAGAAGTTTCTGTCATCTGGCTCTTGCCATGTTGTCAAATATTTTTCTTTGAGGGGACATTGAGAACTTACTTGCAGGAGGCTGCAAGGGCCCCAAAACTTTACGCAGCCAATCCAATGGAGAAGCATTCCCAGTGTTGTCATCTAGAAGCCAACAGAGATGGGAACTGTTTCCATGGCGTGCTGGGATCCCCTCCTGCCTCAGAGAACTGTGGCACTGCAGGGGCTCTCGAGGAGCCCCGTGGGATCCAGATGTCAATGGACATGGCCAGAGCTGCAGAGGGGCCTGGGCAGCTCTGGGCTGGCTCCTGGCCGCTCTGCACACTCGTTCCAGGCCCTGTGCAACATCCCTGGGGGAGTGGTTGGAGCAACCAAGGGCCCCTCGGGGGTGTCTCCTGCACTCAGGAAACCCTGGCTAAAGCCCTGGGGAAGACTGCAGCAGGCAGTGCCAGCCCCATCCCTCCCTGCCCCGGGACAGCTCCCACAGCCCAAGAGGACGAAGTCAGGCCCTCTCAGGAGACACGTGAGCCCCTGCCCAGGGTGGGAGCCAGGGAGCGCTCCGGCCCTCGGCTTGCGGGAGGGATCCCGCTCTGGGCTGCTCTGGTGCCTTGGGCCTCTCGAGACTCAGGGCCAGCTCTGGGAGCAGCTGCAGCGGGAGGGACCTTGGGGCCAGAGTCCCGTTTCCCAGGGGCTGCAGAACATGCTCCAGATGCCTCCAACCCGTCGTGCTTTCAGCTTTGGCTGCTGTCGTGACGGGCCCGAGGGGGCACTGGGGGAAGAGCTGCTGCCACACAGCCACCCCGATGGCCGACACCGATGACCACGCCACAGCAATTACCCCGTGTGCCCGTGCCTGGCATCGCCTCCCTGCCCTCAGCAGAGCCTGGCACGGAGCCACTGCTTCCTTTGGGGAACATTAACTTGTGAACAGCCTCTTGGTCCATCTCTGGGGAAAGCAAGAGGGACACCTGGATCAGATGGGACCATTCTTCGTTAAGGAGGTGGCATCTTCGCGATACAAGGGATCTCCTGCTTTGCAAGGCCCGTGGTGCATTTGGGGCACGGGGTCAGGGGATGCTCAAGGCCTTCCTGCAGAGGCCGGGGAGAAGCTGCAGCCAGGCCACGTGGGGAAACAGCCCCGCAAGGTGGGAAAGCAGCAGCGGGGCAGCGAGGCTGCGATGGATCCCTTCCCGCTGTGCAGCCACTGCCTGTCCACACTGGGCTCAGGCTGAGGAAACAGATCCACCTCGCCCTTTCTGAAGTTCCTTCATAATTTCTTTCAGAACTTCATTTGACTCACGGGTCTTTTTCTCTCCTGGACGTTGGCTCTTGCCTCTTGGAGGACCTGAATGGCAAGCAGTTCCATTTGACATGAACGGATTAGAGAAAACCAGAGCTCAGCCTGTGAGGTCAGCAGGGACAGACTACTCACCCCTGCCATGTGAGAGGAGTTTGGGCCGAGGAACCAGAAAAGGAGCTGGAACAGTCCTCCCTGCAGACACTCCTGTAACTCAACAGCCAGAGAAGCTTCTGTCATCTGGCTCTTGCCATGTTGTCAAATATTTTTCTTTGAGGAGTCATTGAAAACTTACCTGCAGGAGGCTGCAAGGGCTGCAAAACTTTACGCAGCCAGTCTAATGGGGAAGCATTCCCAGTGTTGTCATCTGGAAACAGAGATGGGAACCGTTTCCATGGCATGCTGGGATCCCCTCCTGCCTCAGAGAACTGTGGCACTGCAGGGGCTCGGGGAGCCCCGTGGGATCCAGATGTCAATGGACATGGCCAGAGCTGCAGAGGGGCCTGGGCAGCTCTGGGCTGGCTCCTGGCCGCTCTGCACACTCGTTCCAGGCCCTGTGCAACATCCCTGGGGGAGCGGCTGGAGCAGCCAAAGACCCTTTGGGGCTCTCTCCGCACCCAGGAAACCCTGGCTAAAGCCCTGGGGAAAACCATCCCAGACCCTTCCCGGGGAGAAGAGCCCGCTGGCCGGGAAAGGTGCCCCAGGCCGCCGGCTCACCTGCTCCCCGCGCTGGCACCGGAGCAGCCTGGGCAGCCCTGGCGTGCAGGGCCACTGCCAGGAGGAGGAGGAGGAAGAGGCGGAGAGCAAGGGCCATGGCCCCTCGCCCTCACACCGTCCGGCAGCTACTGCTGCCGCCGCTGTCCTGACACCCCTGTCCTGGCACCGCTGTCCTGAAACCGCTGCTGTACAATCTCTGTCCAGAAATCTCTGTCCAGTAATCTCTGTCCAGTAATCACTGTCCAGTAATCACTGTCCAAACGCCACCAAATCTGACACCGCTGCCGCCGCCGCTGCTGCCGCAACAGTTGCAGTCAGGGACTGAGTGGTCGGTCATTGTGGTGCTGTGGGACCACGGGGCTCTGTGACCTCACAGCCCTGCTGTGACCTCACTGCCTGGGTGGGATTGTGAGGATAGAAAAGGCTTGCAGAAGATTTTGTTAGGAGGAGACAGAGGAAGGCTTTTCTGCCTAAAAGGAACACCTTTCTCTAAGGCAGTTTGGCTGCTTTCTCCCTCCCCCCATTACCAGACAAGTCCTCAGCCTCTCTGTCTGCAACGGGAGCGCAGAGAGAACGCTTACAGACACGCTACAGGGCCCGAGAGAGCCGGGGGGGCAGCGATAATAGAGAAGCCTGGAAGAGATCAGTGACTTTCTCAGGCCCAGTGCTCTTGTAGCTGGTGCAGAATTTCCTTTGTATGCTTTTGAATGTTCTTGTCTTCAAAACGAACCTTCTTGAATTCTTTCCACTGCCTTGGCATTTTTGGGGGATACCTGCATGTATGTTACTTTACAGGGATTGTGTGGGGATGGATCTCAGGAGCTGCCCTCCCAGCCAGGGGAGCACATCCCACCACACAGCTCTGTCCAGTCGACTTGTTGGCCTGAGAACTGATTTGTATGACATTGCACAAGTGAGACGTTTCATGGCTCTACTGCAATCTCAATGCCAGCTCCAACATTCACCTCCTGTCGGTGATTCCCGCTCTTGCCGGCAGCACCTGCCAGCTCTTCCCCCGCCACGCCGACACCGAGTGTGTGCTGTGCACTCAGGGCTGGGGGGTGGCCCATATTGAAACAGGGAAGGACTTGATGCCGTAATTCATAAAAATAACCCAAGGCAGGCAATCAGGGCAGCTGCAGCAACGCCAGCACCGTGGGCCTGTGATCCCTCCCTGCCTGCTCCATCCAAGGGATGGCACCTTGGTACCAGCACAAGGGTTAGCCAACAGCAGCAAGGAATTCATCCATTGCAGACTGGACTGCCACGACATTAAAGGAAAAAGGCTGGGTGTCCCTCTACTGCAACTGAGGCTCCCAGTTCCCTTGGCGGTCGCAATAGCATTTGCATTCCGGCAGCCATGGGCTTCCAGTGACTGGAACAGAGAAATGCCATCCTTGGAAAGAGATAACAAGCTCTCCTGCAGGCAAAGGGATGTATTAAACACCAGCAGTGAACATGGAACTCTTTATTTGGGAGAGCACTTTCTGTTCCCACTCCCTCTGCCCTAAGAACTGAGCAGTGTCCACTGTCACTTTATCCTTTGCTGACTTGAGCCAGCTTTGGATCCAAGTACTTGGAATTGTAACATCTGTCCGAGTATCTCAGCTATGACAACAGTGAATAAGAAGCCCCTTTTTGGGATGTTATGACATTGGCTCTGCAGGGGAATAAACGGAGGGCAGTTTCTGTAAAATGCCTGCACAACCACCCCTGCACATCAGAGGCCACAGGAGGGTGGAGCTAAGGTGTGTTACTCCCTGTCAAGATACTGGTTTTGAGGGGAAAAGATGAAAAAAACCCCAGGATCAGCCACTCTTCCCGGGGAGAAGCGTTGAAAGTCTCTGCCCCTCAAGACCTTCCCAGCTTGTGGGCCATGGTCACTGCCGTCTAAGGCGTGGCCTCGGAACTCCCAGTGCCAGGCTGCCGCTGGTGTGAGAAGCCACGGGCTCAGCTGTCCCCCCGCAGTGCCTCCTGTGCCCTGGCGAAGCGCCGGGGCTGTAGGTGTGTGTTTGGTTTCAGCTCAGTGAGGAGACCCCTTGTTGTGCCTCCCCCCAGCTCGTCAGGCTGCCCCGTGGCCCCTTCGCCCCGCGGGTCCCTGGCCCGGCCAGACTGTCCCAGGAAGGGCCCTACTCGGCCCCAGACCAGAGAGCCTGGGCTGAGCCCCAGGCTCAGCCCTCTGCAAATGTAACGGGGCTCCCTAAGAACCTGCACACCACAAAAAGAGGCCCCAGAACCCCTGAGAACCTCATGAGGAGTGACAGCCCACTACATGGCTTATGAAGGATTCCAAACACCCTGCCCTCTTTAGAGGAAAATCCAACGCCCCCACCATGTTCCTCATCCCAGTCCTCAGCTCCCTGCAAGTCTTATGGGGGACCTCAGCCCCCTGCACACCATAGAAGACAGCCCAAAATATCCCTGGGTGCCTCCTGAGGGTTACCAGTCCCACCTTACGGGGGACTCCAAATTCCCTCCTGCCATATGGGGACCCCCAGCCCAGCAACACCGAGTGTTTTGACCTGGGAGGTTGAGTGTGTGGTTGCCCCCGGATTGTTGGTGCTCTCTAGAGCTGTTCTGCAGCAAATCCTTCCATGAAGGGCTTCTGTATGGAGCACAGTCCAGTCCCATCCCCTATTTTTCCAAGGCAAGCCACTACTGAAAACCCTGGCAAATGGGTTCTGCAAATTTGTCAGATCCCAGGGTGTTACCCTGGCTGCCCTCTCAATGCTCCATTCAAGCAGTGGGTGATCACAGCTGAGTTACTCCCCAGGCAGTCAAAGCCTTGAACAAGGGACTCAGCACCCAGGATTGGTGATTACCCATCAGTTAGGTCCCATCAAGTGCCTGTTAATTAGCAAGGACTTCTGCTTTGCCTCCAGATATTGTTTGTCAGGCTGCGGCCCTGAAAATGCTCTTGATGGCTTCCCTCTTTTCCTGGGCATCCTATCTGAGAGGCCCAGGCCCAGATGGTCCCACTGCAGTAAAGGTGCCCTCAGCCCAAGGTCCCTCACCACGGGCTCCCCCAGCCCCAGCCTGGCTCGTGCCTGCCCACACCGTGGGCATCCACGGCTGTGCCCCGGCTGGAGCTCAGCCAGGGCTGATGGTACCACACAAACACTGGTGTGCCAGCTCTGTCCCTTTTTATTTGTACAGAAGAGCTGACCCTGGAAGTTCTCACTTGGAGTTCTGTTGAGCACTTCCAACTCATTTCCCGGGGGTTGAACCATCGGCCGTGGATGGAGGACTTAGCCTGCGGGCTCAAAACTGCTCAGGGGTGGATGTGCCATTAAAAGCTGGTCAGACTCAGAGCTGCTGCTCCAGCTTTTCCGGCTGTAGACATCTTGGGACCAGCCACCAGCTTTCAGCTTTTCTTTAAGGATGTGCCTGTGGAGAGAGGAGGTGGCTGAGGCCCAGCTGCAGGGGGCACACAGGGACTCTGCTGCCCAGCAGGGCCCAGAGCTGGCAAGGCTCAGCAGCACAGGGGAGCTGCTGGCACACCTTGGCCCCGGTGGACACCTGCCCCTCAAGGCCCCAGCGAGCAGGGGGATGGCTCTGGGCAGGGGCCCTGGGCAGGAGCGGGCGCCAGGGCACGTCTGCCTTCCAAGGGCAATCTCGTCCCCGCTCCTTCTCCTCCCCACCTTGCTTTGCCTCTGCCCGTCCTGCTGGGGCTGCTCTTGGCCAGGCAGGCTCACTTGGAGCCAGCACTGGCTCCAGTCCCAGCGGGCTCCCCAGGAGGGGCCCAGCAGCTGAGAGGCCAGGACAGCACTGGACAGCAGCAGAACCCTCAGCAGAGTTCTTTGACCAAGGACTAACTGGCCGCTCCACAGCAGCCAGGCTGGGAATGTTCCATGGCTAGGAGCTGCCTTCAAAAGAAGCTGTTTGAGGGGGAGATCAACAAACAACTCACCGTTTTCTCACCCTCCAGTACCAGATTCCAGCACAGCACAACATGATGGCAAGCTGCCCACCCAACATGCTTGCCATTATCACACTCAAACAGTGTGTTCCCCGACAGAAATCTCTCCCAGTGCTCTCCTGGATCTTGGGAGCACGTGTTGTGGCACCGGCTGCATCTGCGGGAGCAATTTGGAGCGTTAGCCCGTCCTGGGCACCCCTGCTAAGCCGACAGCACGTTGGACACAGCCAGGACATTCTCTGTTTCCCTCAGTGCGGGTGCCTGGAGGCTCCCAGCCCTGGGGACAGGCTGTCCCACCAAAGCAAACCCAGAAGGCCGGGAGGAGAGCCCGGGGGGAGCGGAGCTGCTTGAGCAGTCGCTCCTTTGAGGGACACGCACACAACCCATCCCTGCAGCAGGCAGTGCCAGCCCTGACACTCCCATGCCCCTCACTGACGGCCCTCAGCAAGACTGCTCAGTACCCAATTCCACTGTGTCTGCTTAGGATAATTTATCTGTTCTGCTATAGTCTTCTTTCCATGATGGGCCTAAGTGGGCACTGGGGGAAGAGCTGCTGCCACACAGCCACCCCGATGGCCGACACCGATGACCACGCCTCAGCAATTACCCCGTGTGCCCGTGCCTGGCATCGCCTCCCTGCCCGCAGCAGAGCCTGGCACGGAGCCACTGCTTCCTTTGGGGAACGCCGCCTGCCACAGAGCCCCTCGGTCCATCTCTGGGGAAAGCAAGAGGGAGAACTGGATCAGTTGGAACCATTCCACATAAGGGAGGTGGCATCTTCAGGAGGCAATACTTAAAACAGACATGGAAAAGGTTCATGAAAATGGATGATGTTTTCCCACTGGGTCAGGGCACTCCCTCCTCCAAACAGCCGCCACACCGGAGCTGCCGGGAGACCAGACCAGGCAATTGCAGGGGATCTCCTGGTCTGCAGGGCCCGTGGTGCATTTGGGGCACGGGGTCATGGGATGCTCAAGGCCTTCCTGCAGAGGCCGGGGAGAAGCTGCAGCCAGGCCAGGCGGGGAAACAGCCCCACAAGGCGGGAAAGCAGCAGCGGGGCAGCGAGGCTGCGATGGATCCCTTCCCGCTGTGCAGCCACTGCCTGTCCACACGTGGATCTAAAGCCCCCGGCTGATGGGTCTCACGGCTCAGGATGAGGGAAAGAAACCCACTGTGCCCTTTCTGCATTTCATTCAGCATTTGGTCCAGAAGATCCAATGCCTTCTGGGATAGTTTGTCTCATGGAGG